GCCTCCCTGAGGGTCACCATGGGGCTGGCTGCGAGCAACGAGACGTGTGTTACAGTGCACTCGTCGCGGAGGGTATGTTTGTGTGTAGAGAGAGAGATAGAGCAAGCAGTGTGTACCAAGAGAGAGCGAGTGGGAGGAAGAGAGACGGGTAGAGCGAGAGAGAGAGAGAGAGAGAGGGGGGGTCAATAGGTACCTGTCTGATCCTGAACAGCCCAAACTCGAAGAGATCACTCGCTCTCTCTCTCGCAAGTGTGGCGCCATCACAGTCGGGAACCGACGGCCTCACGAGCACGAGCAGGGTACGCCCTGGCGCGGGCGGGGCGAGGCGGGGCGGGGCGAGGCGGGGCGAGGCGCGGGGCCCCTCTCGCCGACCCCAAGAAGAGCACAATGAGCACCACAGCATCGGCGTGACACTTTGGCTCACGCGCGGCGCAAGCCGTACCGCAGCCGCCGGTACACTCCCCTCCCTCCAGGAGGCGGCTTGCACGGCGTGAAAGTCCATACCGAGTACCTCTAGCCGCGGCTACAAGCGCGAGAGCAGCACAGCGGGATGCAGCAGGAATGTCACCGCGACGCTTGTGCTGCACTCCTCTTCAACGCTCGTCCATAGCGCCCGGCCCTGCAGCCTGCACCACTTTAGGCTTTGGCCACAAACGTACCGAATTGAGACGGGTTCCCGATCATGGCCAGGGTTGCATTAGAAAGGCAATTTGCCGAACTTTCAAATGCGCCCCCGCTGTGCCAAATCCGAGATGGACGGGGAACCCGTCGCAACTCGCGACCAAATTTTGGTGATGGCCTACAGTAACCACCCTAGCCTAGCCTCCCCGGCCCGGCACGCCGAGTTTGATTAGACTTCCGCTCGTAAACGAAACGCTGCTGCTGTGCTGTGGGGTCCGCCCGGTCCACCATGGCGGGGTGTGCAGCAGCAGCAGCAGCAGCAGCAGCAGCAGCAGCAGCAGGGCCTGCACCGGCTCATTGTCACCGAGCTGTGGCGACAGCTGACATCATGGTGGGGGGACGGCATCCTGCACCCGGCCCGCCCGTGGCCCGCCCGTGGCCCGCTGCGGCACATTGCATTCCCTTCGATTGGGCTCGGGTCGCGGGCAGGCCAGGCCGCCGCGGCACAGATTCCAGGCCGACGCCATGAGCCACACGGTCGCGCCGCCGCCTATGGCGTGGCTCCCCCGGTGATAAGGGAAGGTCCATAAAGCTCCGCACAGAGGGAAAGGGGGGGGGGGAGGAAGGAGGTCCCTAAAGCAACGCTCAGCCCGTGGCAATCCCGTACGAAGCACTTAGCACTATCGGCTGAAGGGACCCGCACGAGCTCGCTGCTGGAGGATGAACGACAGACTGTGTAGTAGCGGGACAACCCCCCCCCCCCCCTCAAGGGCCGCGGATTACAACTGGTATAAGGACACGGCGCGGCCATCGCCTAGAAGTGAGAGATGAAAGACAGTCGCACGAAATCCACGAGTTGTAATAATTTGGTTTCCATGCTCTTTTATTTCCTCTTCTTCGCATAGGTTTGTGTTACCCGACGCGACGGGTTGCCCTCCCGAAGCGGACCACGCCATCAGCTGCTGATCGGCAGCGCGATAAACCACTATTTTCGCTTTTGTACTCGAACTGTGTACCCAACTATAAAAACGCGGATCAGCACAAACTGAGCAATTCAAATAAATGCAACACCATACCACCACCCTAAATAAGGTCGGTTCGCAGGCATGTGAACATGCACTTAAGTGGCCGGCGGTAGCGCCTGGTAGCCTTCCTTGTGTACCTCACGCTCATAGCTGCCAACGTCTATTGGACACGTCTCGCTGTGATATGGGATTGCCCCCCCTGCCACTGCGCGGCTCAGCACGGCAGAGGCCGTCGTGGTGATGAGGAGCGACACCCAGCCCTGCAGAAGGTGTCACCCGCAGGGGGTGCCGCCCGCTGCGCCCTACACTGCGCACTCTGCCCCCTGCGTGGCAGCCAGCTGTACAGTCACGCTGCGTTCGCTCGCCCATGACGTCAGCGAGATATCGGTCCAAAGTAGTAGTGCAAGTCGCCCCATTCCACCCCCCCCCCCCCCATATCATTTCCTTTTCCTTTTGTCCCCGAGTGATGCGTCTTATATTCGGCTGCTGGTTCTCCCGCTCCCCGCTCGCTTCTCTAGCTCACCGTTGGGTTCCCGTGCCGTCCAGCTGGTGCCGCAGAATGGTCTCGCGCTCCATGGCGGTGCAGGCGAAAATAGAACGCTGCAAGCAAAGCAAAACACAAAAGGGGCAAAATAAATAAAAAGAAGCAAAATAGTGTGAACGTAAAGAAAAGGTGCAGATAAATAAACAGAATAACGTGCGCGGCGAGGTTTTTGCAGTGCAGTATTACGCAGAAGTGATAATGCCAAGTGCAAATTACGGAGAACCTGGGAAAACTAAAACTAAACACGCACAACTACAGCAACATAAAATAATAGTAATAAAATAACGGCAACAACAACAACAGCAAACTGGAGAAATATAAGTCGTGCAGGCGCAGGAAGTGCAGCGTGACATTGGGCGGCGGGTCGATAACGGCGACCGACCCACTGATGCCGCCCGCCACGCCCCGCCGCGCCCCGCCACGCCCGACATGGCAGCGCGGCGG